ATTATTCTATAAATTGATAGGTGTTAGAACAGTCTATTTTTCTCTACATAACATGAGACAAAGTTATTAAAATCTGAAAAATAAAAAAAAATAAACTTATTTTTTCACATTCCATATGGGTATTTTTAATAATAGAAAGTCTGGGGAGATTAAAAAGACCTTCAGTATTATACTTCTAAAGTGTTTTGAACTATAAAATAGCATCAAGATTTCTCTTAGGGCCCACAGTACTTTCCAGCCTTTTTTAAACAAATGTTAAGATAAAGATGAAATTTTCCTAACTCCAGATGTAAAAAGTTATAAGAATTTCACAATCAGCCTTATGAGGTAGTCCAGACAGGAAGCATGCCCCAATAAACTATTAAACTTACTTTTTTGTAAGATTACATTAACATAATATTGCAGGTTTGAAAGTACTGTACATCTCTTTCTCTGTCACCTTTATAGCTCAGGAAAATAGAGTGTGTCCCTTCTGAGACTTTTGCTATCACCACATTCCTTCTGCAGCTAAGCTGCCTCTTATTCAACCATTTCCCTAGTTGTGGATCCTCCTTTGCATTCCAAGGTCCCACATATCACGAAATCCACACATGAAAGGTTTTTTTTACATTTTCTATGGATCACCAGAAATGGAAATTATTAACAAAAGTCATTGAAGAAAGATTTGAAATTTTTACTTTACAAAAAGTTTTGATTAAAAAAGAAATTGTCCCTTCACAATTATATCAGTGGATAATGTCAAGAACCCTGGTGGCACAGTGGTTAGAATGCAGTATTGCAGGCTACTTCTGCAGACTACCCGGCTGCCAGCAATTCAGCATTTCAATTCTCACCAGCATAAGGTTGGATTCAGCCTTCCATTTTTCCGCGATCGGTAAAATGAGGACCCAGATTTGTTGGGAGCAATATGCTGACTCGGTAAACTGCTTAAGAGTAGAATGTAAGGCACTGCGAAGCAGTATATAAGTCTAACTACTATTGGTATTATGTATTAAAATTTCAGAATACAAAGGTTTGAAGAAACTGTGGACATTATCTTCTACACACACACACACACACACACACACACACACACACACTCACACTCCTGCCCAGAGCAGGAATCACTATTGACTGATACTAATTTCTGGGAGAGGAATGGAACTAAGCATGTCTCTGAAGACTGAAGACAATGGTTGCAGCAAAGAGTGAACGCCTGGTTAGTAGACTAATTCTTCAGAACCACTCTGGATAAGAAAAGGACAAGATATTAATTACATATGCACCAGACAGTTGCTCCTTGTTAAAAGATTATAGGTCAGCAAGTTGAGTACCAGATGAAGGGACCAGCCATCATGCTTACAACTGCATTGTGGCTTTTTAAAGGACACTCTATTCATCAATCTCACTTTCTAAACATTTTCAGGAATTGCCTATTTAACTATCTTAACACTATTAGAGACTTTCAAATTGGTGACTTGAAAAGGTGCCTGGTGAGTGATTTTATTTCCATTCATAAACAAAAGAAAAATTAATCATAAGTTTAAATTTTAAAGATTTGGAAATAAATGATAAAAAGTTAAATACATAAGACTTTGATTCAAGAAAGGTATAAATGAATTAAGAATCCAAACAAATTTGGAATATTGAAACTTTTACTATAATTTGGAAATAAGTATATAAAATAAAGAGCTTTTTGTGGAAAGAAAATCGTTTTACCTATCTAAAATGATAAGAAAGATTTGAGACTTTATGATTTCAGAAACTGGATAAAGAGGGAATTAAGGATTCCAGCAAAAAAGGAAACTTGCCTTTGGGTTCTGATTAATATGTAATATTTACAAAATAACATTAAAACATTGAAAATATTCCAGAAGAATTTTAAAGAATGAGGCCAGAAATTAGCCGCTACAATGTCAGAATGATGTCTGCTTCTATAGATAAACTATGACCAAAAATGTTAATGAAGGAATGGCAGATGTGAAACAAATTTTGCCTGATGTAAAAATGTTAGGTACAGAAAAAATAGATAACAAAAAAAAGTGAGTTGTAAGACAGAGAAGGCAGCCTGGAACAGAAGAACAAATGACAAGCCAAGAGAATAACTTGGATAAGGACTTTCTACTGCATATACAAAAGATGTCGGTTGAAGTTTGACATTCAAAGTGGAAATACAAATAATAAACCAAGAGAATAACCTGGATAATTACTTTTTACTGGACTTACAAAAGAGGTTTGCTAAAGCTCCCAAGAAGATGGGGGAAATCTCCCCTTTGACATGGGAAAAATAAAAATTAAAGAAAAGCTAAATCCTATGACACCAAATGAATGGATTCAAGGTCAATATTGTCAGAAGAAAGGTATATGAAGTTAGTTTGTTTGACCGAGATCAAAATAATATGTGTCTCCATGAAGTTCTGGTAACCTTTTGTGGACTTTTTCTGAAACCAAGACCAAAACATTTATGATCTATGGATGTGTAAATAGATAAGGGGTGGTTTATAGCAGTGTTTTTCAACCACTGTGCCGCGGCACACTAGTGTGCCGTGACATAGTGTAAGGTGTGCCGTGGGAAAATTACTTTATATATAGTCAATATAGGCACAGAGTTAAATTTTTTTAACATTTTCTAATGGTGGTGTGCCTTGTGATTTTTTTCATGAAAAAAGTGTGCCTTTGCACAAAAAAGGTTGAAAAACACTGGCT